CACATCCCTTGGATCCCACACATTCCCAGCACATCCCTTGGATCCCACACATTCCCAGGATATCCAACACATCCCTTGGATCCCACACATTCCCAGGGTATCCCTTGGATCCCCCCCATTCCCAGTCCCAGGGATTCCCGGGTACCCGGATGGGGACGTATCCGTGGGCGACGTCTGACGGATCGCACGGGGTCGGGATCGGCTCCTCCAGGCTCCGGAGCTGCGGGATTTGGGAGCAGGGATCGAGCTCCGGAGGAATCCCGGAGCTCCCGGGAACGTCCCTTGGGATCCAGGATCCCATCCCATCCCTCCCGGCTCTCCAGGGATCCCAGGATTCGTGGAATGCCAGGATTTGGGGTGGGAGGGACCCTGAAGCTCATCCCATTCCGTGGGCAGGAATTGCTCCCACTGGGATGTCCAGGAATCCTGGGAATGCCGGGAATCCCCACCTGGACATCCCAGAGCTGCTCTAGTTCCCTCAGGAATCCCAGGAATCTCAGGAATCCTGGGAATTCCCACCTGGACACTCCAGCTCCCTCAGGAATCCCAGGAATGCCAGGAATCCCCACCTGGACACCCCAATCCAGGGAATGCCGGGAATCCCGGGAATCCCCACCTGGAGCCCCGAGAGCTTCTCCAGTTCTCTCAGGAATCCTGGGAATCCCCACCTGGACACTCCAGCTCCCTCAGGAATCCTGGGAATCCCAGGAATCCCCACCTGGACACCCCAGAGTTGATCCAGCTCCCTCAGGAATCCTGGGAATGCCAAGAATCCCAGGAATCCCCACTTGGACACTCCAGCTCCCTCAGGAATCCTGGGAATCCTGGGAATCCCCACCTGGAACCCCGAGAGCTGCTCCAGCTCCCTCAGGAATCCCGGGAATCCCCACTTGGACACCCCAGAGCTTCTCTAGCTCCCTCAGAAATCCTGGGAATCCCCACTTGGACACTCCAGTTCCCTCAGGAATCCTGGGAATCCCAGGAATCCCCGCCTGGACACCCCAATCCAGGGAATGCCAGGAATCCTGGGAATCCCCACCTGGACACTCCAGCTCCCTCAGGAATCCCGGGAATCCCCACCTGGAGCCCCGCGAGCTCCTCCAGCTCCGCGAGCGCCGTGTCCGTGTCCCGGACCAGGATCGTGGCCATTCCCAACTCCCGCGCCGGCTCCAGGTTCTCCGGGACCTCATCCAGCAGGATGGCCTGGAACGACCGGGATCAGCCCGGGAATCCGGGGCCGGAATGACCCCAACAATCCCTTGGTTTTTTCGGGAATTCCGGCGGCACCTCCCGCGGCTCCGCCCGCAGCTCTTCCAGGGCGCGGGAGTAGATGCCGGGATCCGGCTGCCCTGTCCCGATCCGGCAGG